GAGGAGGAGGAGAGGCGGAGAGGAGGAGGAGGATGAGCAAGAGGAAGAAAAAAAGGAGGAGGAGGAAGAGGAGGAGGGGGCGGAGGAGGAGGTGGAGGAGGAGGAGGAGGAGGAGGAGGAGGCGGAGGAAGCGGAGGAGGAGGGAGGATGGAGGAGGGGGGAGGACACCCCAGCAGTCACGAAAGCCTGGCCAGGCAGCACTTGGCTCCCTGCCGCGCGCCCGCGTGCCATGGGGGCGCCGTGGCGGTGGACGACGGCGGCGCTGATGCCGGGCGCGTGGGCACCGGGTGGAGCGCAGGAGACCACCCGCTCGCGGAGAACTGGCTCGCGGACGGCTGGAACGTCGGCTTCTTCTACTGGGACCAGCAGCCTCTTCCGCTCTCTCCTTTCGGCTGCACGTAAGAGTGACCTTTCGCCAGGGTGACCTTCTGGTGCGGGCACAATGGGTGCCCCCGATCGCTGAGTGCGATGCAACAGCAGCGGCTTGCGCGCCTGGTTGTGTCCCCGAAGGGCCCTTCCCCTCGGGGCCGCGTACCAAAGGTCACTCTTGCCTCGGGTCACTCTTGTCATGGCGCCAACATCGCAGAGCGGATTCCGTTCGGAAAACAATAGGATGGGCCCAGAGTGTCCTGGAGAGTATCGTTCCGGATTTCGAATCGAATTTCGTGCGGATTTTCTGTGGCCAGGAATGAAGACTAACAAACATCCACGTGACATTCACTTCGTTTTTCGCTCGCCGTTTAGGGGTTTTGCGCTGACAGAAATCCGCGCAAAAATCAGCTGCAGCACGTCTGCAAGGTCGGTGCAGTGACTCTTGCGCGTGACCGGTTCTTCTGGCGCACCCTTTCCTGTGCAAGCTCTTCGGCACCGCCTGTTTTGTGAGCCCTCCGGCCGCCTGAGGCCCCGCCCGCCCGCGCCCTGTCTCCCTAATTAGGGCTAGCCGCGTCCCGTCTAGCTCTTGACCGGAAGGGGCCCGCTCCCGACCCGCCGACCAAACAAAAAACCGGCTCTTCGCCTCGCGCGCGTGCGGGCGACCTGCCACGACAGGGGGCGCCCGTGGCCGCCCCGATGCCCGAGCTGGCATTGCCAGCCGCCCTTCCCTCCGCCCTCCCTCCTGGCCTCTCCTGCAAGCTCCAGGGACGAGCGTGCTGTGGGTGCTGACGCACAAGAGAGATTCCTGCTTCCAGAAGGTACCGCCCTCCATCCCTTGTCACTGCTGCGGGGGCTTGCATGCTTCGGGGGCACCAGTGGTGAGGGCGCCTCAGGCAGAGAGAGAGCCCGGCCCGCCCTGCCAGCACGTCTGTGGTGCATCGAGGAGCCATCGGCCAGGAGACCAGAATGGACACTCGAGGTGGGGGGATGGGGAGCCGGCTCTCGCAGGCAGTCCGTCCAATGCTCGCACTCGGCCCGCTCTTCGCTCGGCTTTGGTCCATCTCGTGGCGTCCTCGCAGTTCCTTCGGTCGGCCTCTGTCCGATCGGCAGCTCTCCATTACGTGCACTTTGTCCACCCTATCTTCCCTTCCTGGTGGGCCCGACAGAGCGCACCGAGGAGCGAGAGGGCTATGAAGCATCGCGTAGCGAGAGGCCATGATTGGTGGACACGCCTCGAGGCACTGTGAAGCTTTCGCCAAGTGGATGGTATCTCTCACGAGGGTTCGCTTTGGCGAATCGTTGGCATGGCTTCGGGTGGCTGCCGTGAAGTAGCCGAGATCCCTTCGACGTGCCTTCCAAGAGTGAATTCGTTCTCTCTCGCTCTCTCTCCATAGAGAGAGAGAGAGAGAGAGAGAAAGCCGTGAACGTCAGAGGTGTTTTGGCACGATGGTGAAACAAGCCGCTACAGTACAGTTCTGGCCGCTCCGCTGTGAAACAGCGGAATCGCGTATTCTTTTTCCAGCATCATTTCTGAGCATGATGCGCAGGCCAGGACGACAGTGGCAATTTGTTTTCGAAGAGTGCTGGACCAGAAGGTTTCCCGTTCCAGGTTGTGGGAGATATGCAACGGCGCTAGTTTCAGTGTGAATGACACCGCAGCTGTTTGCCTCCCAGCCGGGAGGACCAGTTCGCCGACGAGGACTGCACCCGCGACGCAGAGCAGAAGGTCCAGCCGCCGTTTCGAGGGCATTCTTTCGCTCATTGCACGCCCAGGGGTGCTCCCGATGTAAGCGAGAACGCGTGCGGTGCAGCCCTGGCCGAACTCGACTTTGTTTGACTATCGGGGGCGCTCCTGGGCGGGCCTGAGAGCATGCTCGTGTCTCCAAGTTGGATGGCGTCGAGGAGCCCCTTGGAGCTATGCTCGGGGTGGGGTCCCACTGGGTCTCGGGGGGGCTTGCTCGTGGCATGCTGGGGGGCCTGTCACGATCTCTGGGCTGTCTCGGCGGGCCTCTGGGGTGTCTTGGCGGGGTGCTGGGTCCTCCTTTGGGCCGTCTGGGGCTGCCTCGGAGTCGTCTGGGGCCAGTCTTGGGATCGCCTTTGGTTGGTCTCGAGCTGTCCGAACGCTGCGACAGAGTCTGGGATGACCCACGTTCGGTCTGGAGGCATTCTCGAGGTCATTTAACTCTTCTCTTGAGCGAACTGGGTTTCCAATGCAGAATCGTGAACGCTACTTATGTTGAGTGTTTTTCCTCTCAGGGGCCTCTTGAAATACGAACTTCGGGACTCCGGGGGACCTATTGGAAGCCTATCGTGAGATTTTACGGCCTATGTGCCGTCGTGGGCGAACTTGCAGCGGGTCCTGAGATCTCCGAGATGCCTCTTCTAGGCGTTTCCTAGTACGTCTGCCCGTAAGCTCTCCAGAGGCTCCTTCGGAAGCTCTTTCCAGGAGCATCCAGAGCTTCGCGAGAGGCTTCTCGACGGCCTCCTGGCGCTCAGCGATGCGCTGTCCGGGGCCTGCCTCCTCAGAATGCGGCTCAGAGTGCTTCGCAGAAGGCCAGAGGCCTTTCATCCGAGGCAGGAATTTACAGATGACCACCGCCTGGAGGATCACTTTTCGGAGCCTCGGCAGGCGGTGGATATGGACATATTCGGGCCCCTGGGGGCCGAAATATATATATATATATGTGTATATATATATATATATATCCATATCCACCGCCCGCTGGGGCACCAGGACGTCGGTTCCCAGGCGGTGGATATGGATGAATCCCGACTCGCATTTCAAGCCTTCGGAGAAGGCCCGCCCCCTCTGCCCCCCCCCCTGGCCGCGCCGACGACCACTGCCCCTTCCCGGGCCAGTCCCCCCTCCGGCAAGATCCCGCCGAGTTCGGCGCCGAATCCCGCGGAATCCGGCGCCGAGTCCAGCTTGACCTTCGGCTCCATCTTGGCCAACCTGGGTCAGAATGCGGCCCCTTGATCGGGCCTGAAAGAGCCACCCATCGTTCTCCCGAAGACCTCCCAGAAGTTGCCTCCCGACCCCAGCCAGTGCCCCCCCCCACGCGCAGAGAGGGGTAGGGGGAGGGGGGAAGGCTTCTCAGAACCACCCCTGCCTCTCAGACGGCGCGGGCCTTGCCTGTAGATCTAAGGCCCGCGCCTTTAAGAAGCAGCCTCCTTCTAAGAAGCCTTTCCCCCCTCCCACTATCCTCAAGTCGGGCCTGTCCCTCTACAGGAGGAATACTCAGAAATAGTAAAAAATAGTCTGGGGACGATGTGTTTTTTGATTATTTTTGAGCATTCTTGGACTATTTTTCGATTCTTTCTGATCTTTCCTCCAAAATTCCCCTGCAGGGGGACAGGCCCGACCCAAAACGGCCCCTCCTTTTCCTCCTCCTCCTCCTCCTCCTCCTTTTCCTCCTCCTCCTCCTCCTTTTCCTCCTCCTCCTTTTCCGCCTCCTCCTCCTTTTCCGCCTCCTCCTCCTCTTCCTCCTCCTCCTCCTCCTCCTCCCCTCGGCGCGCCGCCAAGCCGTCGCCCCCCCCCCGCCGCCAGGGCCCGGCCGCCCCCCCCCCCCTCGCTTCCAAGGGCGGCCCCCGAGGCCTCGGAGAGGCGACCCCCGCGGAGCTGCTCCTCCCTCGGGGGGGCAGAGAACACACACACAGACGCAACTGATCGCCGATTCCCCCCCCCAGAAAACAGGGGAACATACCCTGACCTTCCAGAGAGCTAGTTTTTAGCACGGGAGACCTAGAAACCTAAAAAGCGAAACGAAACAGCCTAAAGCCAAGACGCAGAATAGCTCTGGGATAGGTTTTTAAGTCGGGTGCCATTTTTTAGCCCTCCTGGAAGGTCAGGGTATGGGAAGGGGGGGGGAGACAAGAACCCAGAGGGTATGGGAAAACATGGGGATCCAGTTCTTTGTGCCTAGTTCTATCTGTGTGTCCCAGGGCACCTTCACTCCCGTGCTCCCTGGCCTCGCCGGCCGCGCCCGTGCCCGGGCCCGCGCTACCAGGGCTGGCCGAGGGCCTCGCCGGGGGGGGGGGGCGCGCCCAGTGCCCCTCGAGATCCGAGGCAAGTTGGAGCAGGCGGTTCCGCCTCCTCCTCCTTTTCCGCCTCCTCCTCCTCCTCCTCCTCCTCCTCGAGATCCTGGGCAAGCTGGAGCGGGCGGCTCTTGGCCGCTTTCGGCCTCTGGGGCTCGGGGGGCCCTCGCCGGGCCTCGGGAGCGCCAGAGAGAACGACTCGGGGACGAAGGGCCGGCCCGGGAGGAGTGGCCCGGGCCTCCGGGGGCCCACGCCTCGGGGAGGCCGGAGCAGCCGGACGGCTGGGAGGGAGGCGGCTCCCGACCCTGACCTTCCAGGAGGGCTAAAAAATGGCACCCGACTGAAAAACCTATCCCAGAGCTATTCTGCGTCTTGGCTTTAGGCTGTTTCGTTTCGTTGTTTAGGTTTTTAGGCCTCCCGTGCTAAAAAATAGCTCTCTGGAAGGTCAGGGGAGGTGTTTTCCACCGTGTGCGGGCCCTCGGGGCCTTCCACGGGCCCCGGGACGGGCACACGAAAAGGGCTCGGGACGAGGCCGGGGCCCCGGGGGAAGGAGGCCCCCAGGGTGCAGGGCTCGTCTCCCTTGGGATTTTTTGTTATATATAGATATAAAGGACGCTGTTGTTGTTGTTGTTGTTGTTGTTGTTGTTGTTGTTGTTGTTGTTGTTGTTGTTGTTGTTGTTGTTGCTTTTTGTTGTTGTTGTTGTTGTTGTTGTTGTTGTTGTTGTTGTTGTTGTTGTTGTTGTTGTTGTTGTTGTTGTTGTTGTTGTTGTTGTTGTTATTGTTGTTGTTATTATGATTATTGTTGTTGTTGTTGTTGTTGTTGTTGTTGTTGTTGTTGTTGTTGTTGTTGTTGTTGTTGTTGTTGTTGTTGTTGTTGTTGCTGTTGTTGTTGTTGTTGTTGTTGCTGTTGCTGTTGCTGTTGCTGTTGTTGTTGTTGTTGTTGTTGTTGTTGTTGTTGTTGTTGTTGTTGTTGTTCTTCTTCTTCTTATTATATACATCTACCAAGATCAGCCACGCGCAGAGGGGGGTGGGGGGAGGGGGGAGGGCTTCTTAGAAGCACCCCTCCTTCGTAGAAGGCGCGGGCCTTATCTCTAGATGTAGGGCCGGCACCTTCTAAGAAGCAGCCTCCTTCTAAGAAGCCCTCCCCCCTCCCTCCACCCCCTTGTGCGTACCGCCAAGTGTCAGGAACTGTATTCTTGGGGGCGCGGCCACAAAAAATGCGCCGCCAAGATGAAGCATTTTGGGGCGGGGGTACCGTGGGTCATTTTTCGCGGGATGTCTCTGGCCAAACCGACGAAACTGTTTTGGTAAATTTCTACACGTATTTTGGAAAAGGGGGTGCCGTATGTCATTTCCTTCCCCCCTGCGAGAGTGGGTTTTTGCTTCATTTAGGAAAATCCCAAACCGTTCTGTTTTGGACGCGTTGCCGGGCCCACTTGTAGCGGCCGTGCCCCTGGGAGTATCACTTGCTAACGTGTCCTTTGTGCCAAGAGGTCTGGTTCGATCGCGACGGCGACGGCCTCCGCTGGAAGAGCTTCGACCCCCAGACGGGGAGCGAGAAGCACGAGCACTACAAGGAGGAGCGCCTCCCCGGGCGTCCCCCGCGGGAGGGCAGGGCTCAGGGGCAGCGTTGGGGGGGGGGATGGGCTCAGGGGTGACGCATCGACCCCCAATCGCCCACTCCTCGCCGAGAGGGGCGCGCTGGCCCACACTGCCCAGGCACCCGCGGCTTCGCCAGCGGGGCCTCACGCCGACCTGACCCATCGCCGCGGTATCGCCGATGCCGGGCCGCCGCTTTTCCCGCCTGGACGGCTTCCCCCTCCTCGTTGCCCCTCGAGGGTGCCCAGACAGCAGGTACGCAGCACAAGGTCGCCAGGGGTGCGGCGAGGGAAGGAGAGAGGGGAGATTATTGTTATCATAATCTTCACTCGTAGCAGTATTAGTAATCATTGGTAATGTTAAGGGTTGATCCTGTTTCAAGAATATTATTATAGGTATTGTTAATATCAGGGTGACTCTTTATCATCATATTACCATTATTGTTTACAATCGTATTGATAATGATGATGCTGATGATGATGCTGATGACGATGCTGATGATGAGGATTCTGATGATGATTATGATGATGATGCTGCTGATACTGCTGCTGTTGATGATGATGATGACGATGATGATGATAATGAGGAGGAGGAGGAGGAGGTTGGAGTATGAAGAGCAGGATGTGGACGAGGTGGAGGATGACGCCGACGACGCCGCCGCCGCTGCTGCTGCTGCTGATGATGATGGCATGGTGATAGTGGTGGTGGTGATAATGATGAGGATGAGGATGATAATGTTAATGATGAGGATGAGGAGGATGATCATCATGATGATGAGGATGATGCTGATGATGACTTTTATGATGATGATGCTGCTGCTGATGATGCTGCTGCTGATGATCATGTTGAGGACGACGATGATGATGATGATGATGGTGGTAATGATGCGGATGATGATACTGGTGATGATGATGATGATAATGATGATGATAATGATGATGATGGTGGGGGTGCTGATGCTGATGCTGATGCTGATGATGCTGATGATGACGATGATGCTCATGATCCTGCAGATGATGCTGATGTTGGTGATGATGATGCTGATGGTGATCATGATGATGGTGATGGTGATGGTGATGACGATGACAATGCTGATGATGTTGATGATGCTGATGATGATGAGGCTGATCATGATCATGATGCTGATACTGGTGCTGCTGCTGATGATGATAACGAATAGGAAAATGAGTATACATATGCTGATGGTAATGATGCTGATGGTGATGATGAGGACGACTAGTATGATGAGGGTGATGCTGATTTTGATGATGATGCTGCTGGTGTTGTTGATGGTGATGAGGATGCTTATGAGCATGATGATGACGATGATGCTGATGCTGCTGATGATGCTGCTGCTGATGATGATGCTGTTGATGATGATTCTGCTGCTGCTTCTGATGATACTCTTTATGATGATGGTGATGATGCTGCTGATTATGATGATGATGATGATGATGGTGCTGTTGCTGATGATGATGCTGATGCTGATGCTGCTGATGATGATGATGCTGATGCTGCTGCTGATGATGATGATCATGGTGATTATGCTTATGATGACGAGGATTATGATGACGATGATGATGATGATGCTGCTGATGATGATGGTGATGATGAAGATGAAGATGAAGACGAAGATGAATATTCAGCTGATGATGATGATGATGACGATGGTCATGATGATGATGCTCATGATGATGATGATGCTGATGATGGCGATGATGATGCTGATGATGATGCTGATGTCGATGATGATGATGCTGACGATGCTGATGATGATGATGATGATGATGATGATGCTGTTGCTGCTGCTGCTGCTGCTGATGATGATGATGATGATGATTATGCTGCTGCTGATGATGATGATGCTGCTGATGATGATGCTGATGATGATGATGATGAAGATGATGATGGAGATGATGATGATGATGATGATGATGATGATGATGATGATGATGATGATGCTGATGATGATGATGATGCTGATGAGGACGTTGAGGACGATGAGGATGAGGATGAGGATGATGATGATGATGCTGATGATGGCGATGATGATGATGATGATGATGATGATGATGATGATGATGATGATGATGATGATGATGATGATGATGATGATGATGATGATGATGATGATGATGATGATGATGATGATGATGATGATGATGATGATGATGATGCTGATGATGCTGATGATGATGATGATGATGATGATGATGATGATGATGATGATGATGATGATGATGATGATGATGATGATGATGATGATGATGATGATGATGATGATGATGATGATGATGATGATGATGATGATGATGATGATGATGATGATGATGATGATGATGATGATGATGAGGAGGAGGAGGAGGAGGAGGAGGAGGAGGAGGAGGCTGATCTATTGTTTTCTTGAGGTGAAATTGGCGATGAGGAGTTCGCGAGACAACGTCGACGCCTCCTAGGGTAATAAATGGCGAAAGGGCCCAACCATACGCAGTTGCGAATACCCCTCTATGGGGCCACGAGACGCTGTACTGTGGGGGGAGAGGCATGCGGGCTGCGACACTGGGACCTTCGGTGGAGCTCCGTATGGGGCCACGACACGCTGTAGTGTGTGGGGGAGACGCATGCGGGCTGCGCCAGTGGGACCTTCGGTGGAGCCCATTTATGGGGCCACGAAGGGCTGTACTGGGTTGGGGAGACGCATGCGGGCTGCGACACTGGGACCTTCGGTGGAGCTCCCTATGGGGCCACAAAACGCTGTACTGAGGGGGGGGGGAGCTGCATGCGGGCAGCGCCAGTGGGACCTTCGGTGGAGCTCCCTGTGAGGCCACGAAACTTTGTATTGGGTGGGGGAGACGCATGCGGGCTGCGCCACTGGGACCTTCGGTGGCGCTCCCTACGGAGCCACGAAACGCTGTACTGGGTGTGGTGTGGGGGACGCATGCGGACTGCGCCACTGGGACCTTCGGTGGAGCCCCTCATGGGGCCACGAAGCGCTGGTCTTTGGGGGGGGGATGCATTCAAGCTGCGACACTGGGACCTTCGGTGGAGCTCCCTATGGGGCCGAAGCGTTGTAGTGGGTGTGGGAGGGAGACGCATGCGGGCTGCGCTTCTGGGACTTTCGGTGGAGCTCCCTTTTGGGTAACGAAACGGTGGAGCCCATTTATGGGGCCACGAAGCGCTGTACTGGGTGGGGGAAAACGCGTGCTGGCTGCGCCACTGGGACCTTAGGTGGAGCTCCCTATGGGGCCACGAAATTTGTAGTGGGTGTGGGCGACGCATGCGGGCTGCGCCAGTGGGACCTTAGGTGGAGCTCCCTGAAATCGTTGTGTTGGGTGGGGGAGACGCATGCGGGCTGCGCCACTGGGACCTTCGGTGGAGCTCCTTTATGGGGCCAAGACGCGCTGTACTGGGTGTGGGGGACGCATGCCGGCTGCGCCACTGGGACCTTCGGTGGATCTCCTTATGGGCCACGAAGCGCTGTGCTGGGTGTTGGAGACGCATGCGGCCTGCGCCGCTGGGAGTATCGGTGGAGCTCCCTCGGGGTCCACGAAGCGCTGCACTGGGTGGGAGAGAGGCACGCGAACTGTGGAGGAGGGAGGAGGGGGGAGGAGGAGGGGGAGGGGGAGAGGAGAGGAGAGAAGGAAAGGAAGAACGCGGGGCGCCGTCTCTTCAAAAAGAGGACCCAGCAATAGGATGGTTGGGACAACTCTCGTCCTTGGGATGGGCGTTTCGGCCTTGGGACTTGTTCGTTGCCACATAGCCGACATTCTACATCTCACCATAATTCCCACGCGACGTGCAGTCAGAAGTTCCCGTTCAAGACGCCCTCGCAAAGAGTTGAAATCGTGTGATGGACTTGAGTTCCCGTTCGAGACGTCCTCGCAAAAGTCCGTGCTTTGGATTAGGAATCGTGGTGGGTTACGCCAGATCTCGCCAGACAGACAGCGCAGAAACCGTGGGTCAGGAGTTGCAGGGCCGAAACGCATTGGCGTTTGGGCCTTCGGAGTTGTTCGTTACCATCTAACCGACGCCGCGTCTCACCATAATTCCCCCGCAACGTTCAGTCAGGAGTTCCCGTTCGAGACGTCTTCGCAAGACGAGGTAGACATCGTATGTTGGATTTAGATTCCCGTTCGAGACGTCCTAGCACAAGTCCTCGCTTTGGATTCGCAATCGTGGTGGGCCACGCCAGAACCTGTCGGACAGAGAGAGCGCAGAGGCCATCCGTTGGGTCAGGGAACCCAGGGACAGAAGATTTTCCTCTGGAGGTGACAATGGCGATGATGAGTTCGCGAGACAACGTCGGCGCCGCCGAGAAACAAATCGTTCGTCCTTTGAATGTAGGTCCCATACACGGGTTCATTTTCATTGAGGGATATGCCCCGTTGAAAGACAACCGTTTGGAAGTCTGGAGCTTTGCCAGGTCACCATTCCACACATAGGAGGACGACCATGAAAATGGGGGAGGGCGATGTTGTTCATGAAGGATATGGTTGTTTGCTTCATGTCCTGAGAACGATTAGGATTCAAAGTGTGGGTATACCAATGAGACTCGTACACGTCCGCAACCGAGAAACATAAATAGTGCTAACACATGAACAGCTGACGAAAGCCCGCGCAGGCTGGACGAGCGCCCCAGGTTTCCCGCGGATAGAATTGGCAAACGCACTCTGCGTCAGTGCTTAGTGGGCCCCGGAAACGGCAGGGCCGTTTTTTCACCGTTTCCGAGAAAAGGTCCCTTGAAAATGGAAACGGCAAAAAAACGGCGACCAGAAACGGCAACAGAAACGGCTCCAGGAGTGGAGCCGGAGCGGGAACCCGTCAAAGAACGGCGACGGAACCGGTGAAAAAACGGCGTCGGAACCGGCAAAAAAAAGGGCAAACCGGGACTTGTAACGGCCCTGCCGTTTCCAGGTCTAGAGGTTGACACCAACACCAATTTCGGCGGTGTGCCTCCACCGAGGGAAGAAGATCCCGATCTCGGCGATGGTGGTGATATTATGGCTTCCAAGGTGGCCGAAATATTACCACCAACACCGAAATCTAGGATCATCTCCCCCCTGTGGAGGCAACCCCCTGTGTTGGTGTTGGTGCCCATTTCCAGGCCTCCAACACTGAGCGTCAGCGTGCCAACGACGGCGCCGCAGTCTGGCTCGCGCCGCGCTGGCTCCGGCGGGCCGCAGCGGCCGCGCTGCCGTGGGGCAGGAGGTCGGACCGACCCCCGGCCTCCTGCTCTGCTGGTGGGGGCAGGGCACGGGCCTCTCCTGTCCCTGCCTTAGGTCGGTGATGTTCCCCTGCAGGGGGATCTTGGAGGCAGAAATGAAACATACCCCCAAAATGCACGAAACTGCCTCAACAAATATACTTAAAGATCGTCCCCATACTTTCTTGTATGTGACTGTTTTTGAACCTCCCCCCTGTAGAGGGGCACGCCCGAGTGAACCCCTGCCCCCGCCTGCCGCGCCATGTCCGCGCTTCCTGCTGGCGGCCTGGCGGTCTCCGCCTTCAGGCTGCGCCAGCGCCTGGCCGCCGCCCTGCGGGCTGGGCCGCCGGGCCTGGGCGCCAGTTCCGCCGCTGCTGCTGCTGCCGGGCCTGGGCGGCGTGCTGCTGCTGCCTGGCGCTGCCGCTGCTGCTGCCGGCGCCTCGCCAGCGGCGGCGACGCGCGGCGGACACTCCGGCGCTGCTGCTGGCCCCCCGCCGCGGGCCGACCGCGGCCCGGCGGCGCCGCCGGCGGCCGGGTGCCTCTCGCCAGGCGCGGCGGCCGCTGCCGCCCCTGGTCGTCGACGCTCGTCGCCACGGTGGCTCTGACCTTTCGCCCCAGGCTTTGATCTTCACCAGGTCTCCTCGTCGTCACGCGCAGAAGCTTTACTGGGTTGCCTCCAGCTTTCCCGGGGTGTGTTCCTGGCTGTGGCTCTACGTTCCGGCCTCGTGGACGACCTCTCCGCGCATGCCCTGCACTGCGTCGTGCTCTCCTGGCACCCGCTCCTGGACTTTACCGCTCAGAGTGCGGCCTCCGCTCCCCGCGCGCCCTCCTCCTCTTTGTCCTCCTTCCTTGTGCCGCAGTTCGCCTCAGGAGCGCCCCTCCCGTTACTTGATCGACGCCTGCGTGCTTGCGTCCGTGGACTCAAGGAGTGTGCCGTCGGCGGTCTACGGCGCAGCGGCGACGGCGCCGCTGGTTTCGCTGTCTTGCTTGTCTCCAGGGATGGGGACAGCGGCCAGTACAAGCACAGCGCGGTGTGGAGAGATGTGGCGCCGGTGCCAGGAAGGGCTCGCATCTGTTTTCGAAGCCGAGGCTTTAGCGCTCGAGGCGGGCCTGCGGTGGCTAGTGAGTGCGCTGTTGCCTTCCCGATCTTATGTCGCTGATTCTTCGGGTGTGCCCACGCAAGTTGCATCAGGAACGCGCTTAAACCGGAGAATGCGGAGGAGGTGGAGGCCGTTGTCTTCGGCTTTTCACGCTTGCTCTTGTTCGTCCTGTCATTTGAAGGGCTTTGAGCTCTTGTCGCCCAGAGGGGGGGCGCGGTGGACGGAGGGAGGAGGAGCAGCAGACAACATGTGCAGGAGCAGAGGCAGGGGTAGGTGGGGAAAGGGTTGAAAAGAAGAAAGAGGGGGAGGAGGAATACACGCCGGTCGTTGAAAGCAGGTATTTTTTTGGGGTGCCCAGAGGCGACGATAGGGGCGAACAGTCTAGGGGAGAGCAAGATATGTATTCAGGTACGCCGATGATCTATGTCTTCGAAAAGGCTCCCGGGCGAATACTTTTATGCCCGCCCCTGGCCTATTCGCCCCTATCGTCGCCGCCGAAAGTCCCGATCTATTTTAGGCGCCTTCCTACTTCAGTGACGAGCGGTTTCCCCGCTGCCCTCCTCGTCGGGGGGCGGGCGGCAGCACGATCTGCTCCCAACACTCTCCTGCTTCATTCAGAGGCGACGATAGGGGCGAATAGCCCAGGGGAGAGCAATCCATGCATTCAGGTGCGCCGATGATCTATGTCTTCGAAAAGGCTCCCGGGCGAATACGTGTAATGCCCGCCCCTTGGCTATTCGCCCTTGCCGTCGCCGCCGATTCATGTTTCTACCCACTTCTTCCGACCGACGTTAGGGGTAGATGGGGAAAGGGTTGAAACGGAGGAAGAGGGGGAGGAGGACTAACATACGAGGAATGTGCGGTGTCTTTTCGGATCCAACCTGGCGCTGGTTGTTCTGCGCAGCCTTACCCGTCGGTCGTTGAAAGTGGGTATTTTTTGAATTTCGGCTCCCGATCTACTTCGGGCGCCTCTCCGCTTCAATGATCGAGTGGCTCCGCATTCCTTCCTTCCCTTCAGGGGGCGGGCGGAAGCCCAATCTGCTTCCCACGCCTTGCGACTTCAGGTTTCTACCCACTCCTTCCGACGGGCGGGCAGGGGCGGGTCCAACAGGAGCCGCTCGCGGCCACTTCCCAGGGCTTCGCCGTCCCCGCAGGTCGCCTTCGCGCCCCTCCGTGCCCGTGCCGCGGTTCCTCGCCCGGTGGCTTGCCGCAGTCGGTGGCACTGGGCTCGTCTTGTTTCGGCGGCGAGTGAGGGGGGGAAGCGGGAAGGAGAAGGCCTTCTAAGAAGGCGGCGGGGCTTCTCAGAAGCCCTCCTGCCTTCCTGAGAGGTTGTCTGTGTCTTCCGGGAAGGCTCAGAGCACTCTTCAGAAGGCCAGAGGACATCCGAGCCCTCCGAGAATGCCTCCTCTTTCTCATTCCCGCCCCCTCGCTCGCCGCCGAGTTGGACATGTTCGCTCTGCTGGTTTCCTGCCGCATTTGCTCGTCGGCGCGCGGCCATTCATTGCCATAGGGACGTGCTGTGCACCCCCCCCCGCAATCGCAGGAGGCGTCGACGGTGGCGGACCTCTGCGTGCAGGCGGTGGAGCAGAATCTCGGGACGCCGCCTTTTTTCTTGCAGGGACGGGCGGTGTAGAGCGAGGAGGAAGAGGTGGACGGGCGGAGTGGGCGGAGGAGAGCAGCGAGGTCAAGTGCGGCAGCAGCGGCGCGGTGGCAAAGGAGGAGGAAGAGGAGGGATGGAGGGATGTGATGGAGGGGGACGGAGAGATGATGATGCCGACGACGTTGACGAGGATGATGATAATGATCCTGCTGTTGATAATGATGCTGCTGCTGCTGATGATGAGAATGATGATTTCGATGATGATGATGCTGATGCTGATGATACCGATGCTGATGATGGTGATGATGCTGATGCTGATGATTATGCTGCTGCTGATGATGATGCTTATGATGATTTCGATGATGATGATGATGATGATGATGATGATGATGATGATGATGATGACGATGATGATGATGATGCTGGTGATGATGATGATGATGATGATGATGATGATGATGATGATGATGATGATGATGATGATGATGATGATGATGATGATGATGATGATGATGATGATGATGATGATGATGATGATGATGATGATGATGATGATGATGATGATGATGATGATGATGGGCTCTGACGGGGAGCCGAAAACGCGCGGTGCAACCACCCTCTTGTGTCTGCATCCTGGCGCGCGGGTGTGACGGCCACCAGTGATTGTAAAGCGACTCCAGCCAGGCAGTGCGGGCTCGCGGACGGGCGAGGCAACGCGGCTATAGAGGTGATGACTCACCAAACGTTAGCACCCCGAAAAGGAGTGATTTGATGAAGCACGCCTCCGTGAAGCACGCCACCTGTGGCGCGCCTCCGCGAAGCACGCCGAGATGAAACACGTCACGATGAAGCACGCCCGATGAAGCACCCCCGTGAGGAAGCATTCCGGGAAGCACCCCCCGATGAAGAGCTCCACGATGAAGTCGTCCACGACGGTGAGGCACTCCAGGACATAACATTGCACGATGACGCAGTCCACAACACATCCTCTGATGAAGCACTCCACGATGACGCAATCCACGTCGAAGCATTCCTTTGGGAACCACCCCCTGGTCAAACACTCCCATGCTGAAACGCGCCTTTGTGAAACACTCCTCGGTGAGGCACTCGTTGGTGAAGCACTTCTTGGTCAAACACCCTCGAAACACCCTCGAACCAGCCCCCCACGATGTACCACTCTACAATAAAGCACGCCACGAGGAGGAAGTCCACGATGAAACCCTCCCCGATGAAGCCCGTCACGATGAAGCACGCACGCACTCAGTGAAGCAGGCCGCTAAGAGGCACGCCTCCGTGACGCACGCCTCCATGAAGCACGCCACGATGAAGCGCGCAACCTTGAAACGCGCCTTTCCGATGAAGCGCGCCACAGTGAAGCCCTCCAGGAAGGCCTCCTCGATGACGCATGCTCCCGTGGTGAAGCATCCCACCCCGATGAAAACCTCGATGAAACCTTCCGCAATGAAACCCTCCAAGATGAAGCCCTCCAAGACGTGCCGCTTAACGCTGAAGCACGCCGCTCCCCGAGGAGACACGTCTCCGTGAAGCACGCCACGATGGAACACGCCGCGGTGTAGCACGCCCCGGTAACGTAGCCCGACGGCGGAGCACCCCCCACGAAACATCCAACGGTGAAACATGCCGCGATGAGGCATGCCACGGTGAAGCGCTCCATGAGGAAGCAGTCAATCGGGGGCGGAAAAGGGGGGTGATGACTAGGGGGGGTGGATATCATGGCGGGGGCCATGATATTTCCCCAGATTTAATGGCGCCTCTTCTTGTTTCATTACGTCCCTGGCCCCCCCGCTGGGCCGCGCACATGCTGCCGGCCATGATTTGCACCCCCCCTCTTGGACACCCCCCTCTTGGCCGCTCCCGAGTCAACGAAGCATTCCCCAATGAAACGCTCCCAGATGAAATGCCCGACGAGGATGCGCACCCCGATTGAATGCAGCAGTATGACACACGGCGCTGGTGGCCAACCTGAGCGCGCGAGACTGCGCACCAGGAAGTCATGAGGCAGATCACGCGACGCTGATGGCACAGTGGCACCAACTGGACGCGCCTTTTCCAGGACGCGTATAGTCCAGGTGATGTGTTCGACGTTGCTGTGCCATCAACTGGGCCTCTCTCGCCCAACAGGCACTCCATCCGAGGCGGGGATTCATCCATCATCACCGCCTGGGGGATCGCAGGCGGTGGATGCGGATACATTCGGGCCTCGGGGCGCAGATCCGTTCACGTCCACCGCCCGCCGAGGCCCGCGAAGCTCGACCCCCCAGGCGGTGGCGACGGACAGGCCCCCCGCTCTGCACGTCGGGAGACCCGTAGCCGACGCGGAGCGCCACGTTGGGGGCCATGGCCCCACCCCCTTTCCCCCCCCTTGAGCCGTCCGCTCCGGCAGCTGCGGGGTCGCTGCCGCGGGTCCCAGCGCGGATTACGTGGCCGATTCTGATGCCGACAAGGGAGGATGAAGAGGAGGAGGAGGAGGAGGAGGAGGAGGAGGAGGAGGAGGAGGAGGAGGGGGGAGGAGGGAGGAGGGAGGAGGGAGGAGGGAGGACGAGGACGATGATGATGATGATGATGATGATGATGATGATGATGATGATGATGATGATGATGATGATGATGATGATGATGATGATGATGATGATGATGATGATGATGATGATGATGATGATGATGATGATGATGATGATGATGATGATGCTGATGATGATGATGATGATGATGATGATGCTGCTGCTGCTGCTGCTGATGATGATGATGATGATGATGATGATGATGATGATGATTGTGATGATGATGATGAGGAGGAGGAGGAGGAGGGAGGAGGGAGGAGGGAGGAGGGAGGAGGAGGAGGAGGATGAGGAGGAGGATGAGGGAAGACCAGGACATCGTTCCCATGTCGTGTGCCGTCTCCAGGAGGTTCATGGGGCTCGTGAGGCTCACTGGGCGCATAGGGCTCATAGGGCTTCGCTGGCTCATAGGGCTCATCTGGCTCGTAGGGCTCATGAGGTTCAGAAGGGCTCATGGGGCTCGCAGAGCCCAGATAGCTCATGGGGCTCATAGGGCTTAGAGAGGGAATGATGGAAAGAGGCCGAAACTGCCGAAAAGTAAATGCAGACCACATTCTCCAGTGCCTCGAGGTTTTGTCTCCAGCCCCAGACTGGCGGAAGAGGAAGGAGCGCAAGCATGGTGGAGAAGGCAGAGGAGAGCAGTGAGAGGAAGGGGAGGGGAGAAAGAGCGCAAGGCGGCGAGGCGGTCATGTCGCGGGGCGGTCAGCACTCGTGCTAGGTGAACGGCACGCCTTCGTCTTTGTGCAGTTTGGGCTGGCGCGGACGGAGGCAAAAAGCCATTGTGAGGTCCCGAAGTCGGAGTGGTTTTTGTCCTGCGTCGAAGCGATTATTCATCCACTTCAGGTAGTGGCGCGCCGCAGCGAAGTTCAGGATGCCCAACTCGGCTGCGCCCTCGGATGCTCCAGGGAGGTGGGGCACGATTGTGTCCCAATCGTCGACATACCATTCTGTGTCAACCGTCCTGGAAGCCAGGGCGTCGATAAGCCGCAAATGGTGCCCCGGGTGTATTTGCACCCCGCGTGCAAGACGGGAAGTTTCGTCGTGGACGTTTCGAGGGTCAGGTCGAGGGCTCGTGGTGTTCTGGCCTCAGGCTGCAAATCGGCGATGGCGCTGGCGTGGTCGAGCAGGCTGTCTAAGCCCATGGGGCTACGCAGGAGTTGGTCCAGAACGGTTGTGCCCCCCGCTGGGCGCGACGTGTCCCAGCGAGTCTCTTTCGCGGGGTAGGTGCGGATGGCGTCCGCCATGGCGTGTGCGTTGGCCTCTAATTGGCTCGGAGGAGGTTGCGGCTAACGCCGCCAACGCGGCGCAAACAGGTCGACGGCGAGGCGCGATGTGCAGCAAGGACAGCCACCGCGGTGCGTGGGATTCGGTGCGCGCCAGGTTGGACCGAAGTGTGTCGTGCGCGTGGTACATGGTGACCGCGTCGGCGCGCTGGTCCATGCGAGTCAACGCGGACAACGCAGCCGAAGCGTCCCGACAAAGATTGTCTGCGAAATCGTCGAATTCTGGGTCGGGTCTCCAGGGTGGTTCTCCGGCAGGGCCAGGACCTTCCGGTAACTAAGCCTGGGCGTCCACGGCCAGGGGCTTGCCGGCGATGGGGAGCGTCACCGGCGCATCCTCGATGGCGAGGGCGCGGTCTACGGAGGGGAGTTCGGCATCGGCGTCGTTCCCCGTGCGTAGTCCGAGGAGCTCAGCCTCCAGTGTCCGAATTTTCTGAAGAGCCCAGGAGGCATCTGTGCGCGGCGGTGGGTTGGGCTCCGTCCGCAGCGTGGCCAAACGTCCGAGTAAGATGCCGCGGGCTCCGCCGCGTGGAACGTCATTGTCCTGGCAAGTGGACGAAAGAGTCGCCCACGATGCCGCAAAAATACCATCGTCGATGGTGGTCAAAGGGGGCGCGTCACCGTCTGAACATCGACACTTGCGTTTGGGGGCTTGGTTTGCTGCCGTGAGGTATGGACAGGAAGCAGAGCGCAAGCGAAAGAAGTTCGAGCCGAGGGGCTACTGAAGTAATGCCAGCAGCATATGTGCGAAAGAAGAAGTAGCAGAAAAGCACACGAGGGAGGAGGGGTAGCATAATGAAGCAGGATAACGCAGGAGGTGAAGGAGGCAGAGAGTGAGGGAGAAGGGGAGCGAAGAGAAGGACAACGACGTTGGATAGGTGCTTGGATGCGAGCAGGGATGTGGCCCGACCGAGAGGCCTTGGCAGTGCCTCTCGCAATGTCATTCAGAAGGCCCATGAGGCTCATAGGGCTCATAGAGCTCATGGGCTCATAGAGCTCATAGGCCTCGTTGGGCTCATAGGGCTGATGGGGCTCACCGGGGGCCAAAGGACTCGTGATCGTATAGGGCTCATAGGGCTCATGGTGTTCGTAGGGCCCATGAGTCTCTCGTAGGGCTCATAGGGCTCATTGACTCATGAGCCTCATAGGGCTCGCCGAGTTCATAGCACTCGCAGGGCTCATAGGGCTCGTAGGGCTGATAGAGCTCATGGGGCTCATAGGGCCAATAGGGCACGTAGGACTCATAGGGCTCACAGGGCTCTCATAGGGGTCATAGGGCTCATAGGGCTCACAAGGGTTCATAGGGCTCATCGGGCTCATAGGGCTTGGAAGGCTCATGAGGCTTGTAAAGCTCAGAAGTTTCATAGGGCTCATAGGGCTCATAAGGCTGATTGGGCTGCGAGGGGCTCACGGGGCTCGTAGGGTTCAGAGGGCGCGTAGGGCTCATAGGGCTCATAGGGCTCATGGGCTCATGGGGCTCTTGAGGTTCACAGGGCTCGTAAGTCTCACAGGGGGACCGTTGGGGAGACCCTGGGGTTCCTCGGGGATCCCTTGGGCTTCTCTTGGGGTCGTCACGGGGGGTTCTGGGGCCGTCTTGGGCGTCCTTGGGCCGTGTTGAGGCCGTCTTGGGCCGTCTTGGTGCTCGCGTGGGGAATTCGTATGCCTCTTCGGGGGGTTTTTGGGGACTTCTCGGGCAGTTGCGGAGCGTCGGAAAGCCGAGAAAGCGAAACGGGCCAAACTCATCCAAAACGTATATGACATTGAACCTTTTTGATTTTCGGAGCCTTCTTGAAACGCTTCTCGGAACTGTCTTGGGATTTCTTGGGAGCGTCTTGGGCTGTCTGTGGGCCATCTTGGGCGTATCGTGGGTTTTTTTTTTGGGTTTTTTTGGGGGGGCTGTATGGCGGCCTTCGTGGGCCCTCCCGGGAGTTTCTTGGGCTGTCTGGGGGGACATGGGCCGTCTTGGAGCCCTCTTGGGGGCCTCCTGTGGCCTTCTCGGGGCTGTCTCGGGAGCTGTTGGGGGTCCTTGTGGGCTTCTCTTGTGCCGTCTTGGGACTCTCTTGTGCCGTGTTCGGGCCCTCTGGGGCCGTCTAGGGGTCCTTGTCGAATTTTTTTAGGCCGTCTTGGGGTCATCTTGTGGGCCTTCTGGGCCGTCTTGGACGCTGTGAAGACCAAAGAAGCGAGTATGCTACAATATACGTTTTCCCACAAAAAGTGGACGATTTTTGTATCTTGGGGGTCTCCTTGGCGGCCTCTTGGGGCGTCTTGGGAGCCTCTTGGGCCGTCTTGATGCCACTTTGCGCATTCTACGAGTGCTCATGAGCTATTCTGGAGCGGTCTTGGGCCATCTCGGGCCTCCGCGGGATCGTCCGGGAAGCGATCGTGGGCCTGCCCGATCGGCGTAGGGTGGCTCGGAGAGGCTCCCGGAACCGAAATTTCGAATTTCACGTAGGTGGGACCGCCCAAGGCCGAATTTATGTAGGGGGGGGGGTCACCCGGGGTCACCCGGGGTTTCCCGTTATAAGAATATTCGAACCTGAATATGTATGCCGAGGCGGAGGACAGGTGAGGGGGAGCGGAGAAGGAATTGGAGGAGGATCAGGAATCGTATCACCCTCGTCAAAATTAACCTCAATAATGGCGATCACGCCCCTGCGATGTCGGCGCGCTCTTCAATGTCGATAGACGCTCCTCCAATGTCGTTGCCAGGGCAAAAGTGGTCTGGGAACGACTCGGAAGTTTGATGATGACCGACATTGGCGGGGCATCGCATACAATTACCTCGCAGTCACCGCTACTCTGTCCAGCATCTCCCCACAAACACTTCAGCCACGTAAAACATTTTTGGGGTTGATTTTGACGAGCAGCAAGAGGCGAGGCCGCGCCTGAGTTGCCCGCCCCGGCGAGGGACTTTGCTGGTGGCGCCGTGCGATTCGTGGGCCACTCCATCGGCGCCCAGCTGGCGGCCCGCTGCGCCGGCAAGCTGCACATGCGGGGGGCGGGGCTTCCTCCCCCTCTCGGAGGCGGCGACAGGGGCGAAGAGCCCAGGGGTGAGCAATACAAGTATCCAGGGGCGCCGACGATCCATGTCTTCGGCGAGGCTCCCGGGCGAATGCGTGCAATGCCCGCCCCTGGGCCATTCGCCCCTATCGTCGCCGCCGACCCTCCCCCTCCCTCGGGAGGGAACGCTGCCGTCGGGAGCCCGCCCGCGTGTTGCGCTTTGGTTTTCGTCTACAGCCCTTTGGAATTTCCAGGAACCGTTCTTACCTCCAGCGCCAACACCATCGACCGCCGACACCGACAGAAACACAACAGCAACACCAACACACAGCACCGACCACCACCGACCATTAACAGCATCAGCAAGGACACCGACTGCACCGATTCGATTCTGATCTGGTCCGCGAACATCTTCTACCACGCCCTCCTTCTTCCGGTTTGTACGCATAGTGTTCCTTACCTTCTTTGTGCACTGGTTTCTGCAGCACTTTTTCCGCGACTTTTACTCGCACGCTACATGGGGCCACGGCCTCCTGCGCCATGCCCAAAAGGGCACGGGCACACCAGTGTGCCCGACTCTGGCGCCTTCGCTTCGCTTCGCTACAGTCCTGGTGTTCCTTCAGCAGTGGCGCGCTGGCGGGTTCCCCAAGGCGTCGTGTTGCGGGTGCTGTTTTTGCTTCCCCGCTCCCCCACTCGTTGCCCCCCCCCGTCCTCCCCTCTCCCTCCCACCTTGAATCCAGCCCCCGACTCGCCGTGGCTCCCTCCTCGTCCTTCCCTCGTCTCCCCCCTGGGGCGTGGGTCGGGGCCAGCAGCCGCTTACGAGGATCTCAGCAGGCCACGGCGAGCGGTTTGCAAGGGGGCGTGGACCAGCGACGGGTCCCGTTTCCATGGGAAATCGCGGATTTTCGCGGCCAGACGAGGCGGCACCAGCGGAATTGTGGGGAGGGTACCTCCTCCGATCCATGGATTTGGCGACCGCGCGCCAAATCCATGAATCGCTAATCCCTGTTTGCTGGTTCATTCAAGCTTCGCGCGGCCCGCTTAGCTTCGCCCGGAAGAGGTGCGCTCTCGACCCGCGAATCAAAAATGTTTGCGCGCCCCCGATCTTAGGCAGGCCGCTGGAGCGCTCGCTCGGGACGTCAGCATCGCGGGAGATGACGCTCCCCGCCAGCGCCCGCGCTCTCGCAGCACTGCACAAGAGAGACGATGGAAGAGAGGCACCCACCTGACCACCTTCAACTCCTCCCCAACCTCCCACAGTAGCAATAGAAAGCACAGGACATGACGATGCCACGGAACGCGAGGGGCAAGGAAAGCTGGGCGGTGATGGAGGGGAAGGATGCCTACTGCCAGTGCTCTCTCTGGCGAGTCGGAAAGCAGCGAGAAGACCGAGAGGACAATGTGCGGGGCGAGCCAGTCCAGCAGGCTAGCGCGCATAGACGCCGGCAAGAGGAAGCGCGAGATCCCCCCCCCCGCCCAGACAACGACTCCTCATCATGGGGATGGGACAGACCAACTCCAGACCGAGGTCGGCCAGTGAGCCCCTTGGGGGAGGACCTTGTCCCACTGGGCGGCTCTCGTGGTTTGTGTCGCCCACTGCCGCTTCCCTCGCTCTACCTCCTCCTCCCCGTCCTCCCGTATATGGACAGTAAGTTCGAACCCTGCGGCGCAAGATTCCCCCCCCCGGACCCTCCAAATTGATGTTGAGGGTGCGGCATTGGAGAGGGCCTGGATGGACAAACATATTCGAACCCCAAACCATCACCCATGGTAAAATCAGCATTTATTTCGGGGGCTGGGGGGTGATGACCATCACTCTCGAGTGTGTGAGGGTTCGAATCTTTTGTCCATGTACTGTCCCGACAGCCACTGGGTTCTGGCAGCACGGATTTCCCGCAAGCTGCCCCCTGTAGTCTCCAGTACTTAGCGGGTTCGGGCACCTTTTGAGCTCATAGCGGGCTCGGTGTTCCTCCCCGTCATCCCTACAGTCAACCCGCATGGTAAGGATGAGCAATTTTCCAAGGTTGCCCTTGCATCCTTCCCCTTCGGCCCGTCCTTGGCCGCTCTTGCTGGCCGCGCCCCGCTCGCAAAGTGTCAGCATGGCCTTCCAAGGCCCCTGCGTCCATGTCGTGCGACCTTCTTACAGTGCGAGCGCGGCCGCAAGAAACCTTCGCAAGAAACCCGACCCTCCAAACCTGCGCGCGAAGTGCACCGGAGGGGAATCCTGGAGCACTCTCTGAACGCAGCAGCTCCTTCAACGGCCGCGGGACGTCGCCGCGCAGCGCGCGGAGCGAAGGAACCCAGGATGCCCTGAAGGAGAGCATGTGGTTTCTCGCTGCGCGCCCCCACTGTATACGGGCTGACTTTACCCCGTGCTCCAGGCCTCGGGAAAAAATAGCGAACACTCATGCCACATTCATCTGTGAACGCCTCCCCCTCCCCCCAGTGTTCAAAGTTGGCGGCGGGTCTGATGAGCTGCACCTCGACCGCAGTCTCCCCCCCCCGCGTGCCAACTTTGAGTTTTTGGGGGGCAGGGGGGGTGTTCACTGATTGTTTCCCTCTACCGCCGCTCATTCGTCCTCGTCTCCCTCCCGCCCCTCCCCCCGTCTGATGGGCGTGTTTTCCACCACCACCACCATGAGTTGGAGAGGGGGGGTCCTCCTCCTCCTCCTCCTCCTTCTCCTCCTCCTCCTCCTCCCTCCAACTTATGGTGGTGGTGGTGGAAAACATGCTCACCACCGTCCTCGCCCTCCGCACCCCTCCTGCCGGCGGGGGCGGCAGGTGGACCCCGAGGGACCTGCCGAGCAAGCTGCTGAGCGGCAAGGCCCTCGGGCCGCGGCCCCGCCGGCGCGCGCCGCCCGCGCGCGGGGGGGTTAGCCCGCGGCGGGGCCCCTTGGCCTGGCCACGGATTCCGATGCTCCTCCTCGTCCTCGCGGCGAGGACGAGGAGGAGCGAGGAGACACAGTCGGACAGCGAGAGACAAAGTCGGAGCAACCCCAAACCCCCAGAGTCTGGGGGCGCCCAAGAGTCTGAGCAGCACCTTTTTCAGATGCCCTCCTCGCCCTCGTCATTCTCCTCGTCCTGGCCTCCCCGTCCCTCACCGCCCACCAAACCGCCCCGACCCACCCCGAAGGCCTCCATCTGCCCTCCACTTCCGGTGGGGGGGGTGGTCGGGGAGCACTGGGAAAGACATATGGAACCCGTACCCCCCCCCGAACCCGAAATTCGGGTCAAATTCGGGTTTTCGGGTTGGGTTGGGGTGGTCTGGTAGGTAACCAGTCCCCTTCGCGCTCTTCTCCCTCGTCCTCGTCTTGCTCGCGGCGGTGGCGGCTCAGGGCCCTGTGCTCGTGCTCGTGGGCGGCTTCACGGCAGGTGCACTCAGGCCCGTGCTGGTCTCGCCACCCAGCACGATATGGTGTGGTAGCTTCCGTCGATGCTGAAAAATCCCTCGTCCTCGTCGTCGTCCTCGCCCTCCCCCCTTCCTGTTACTTTTCTCCCCGCCGTGGATGGTTGCGGTAACTCGCTTCTCCTCTTTGGTCGTGGGGGAGGAGGAAGACCAAATCAGACCCAGAAAGCATGGCTGATTCTGCCATGTGCGCTCCCGTCCGCCAGGTCCCGTCCGTAAGCTTACATGCGCCCCATTGCACCACGAAGCGCCTTCTTGGAAGTCGAGCACGCTTGGTTCAGGAGGGGGGAAGAGCCACAGACACAATTCATCGTCGATTCCCAGGACAATGTGGAAACTATGGGAAGTGGGGGGGAACACGAAGACCCAAAACAGACGGGAACATACGGGGAATGGGATTTGTGTCTATCCATTCGTGTGCCCCGAGGCACGGTAGCCGCTCCGAGGCACCGAGGCACGATAGCCGCTCCCAGACATGTGTGTATAGTTCTTCTCTTGCCGATGCGCGCCGTCCATGCGCGGCTCCCGAGCGAGTGAGTGATCTGTGCGCCCCAGGGCCCGTGTATTTGTGCCCGCCGTGCGGGCGACCGCCCCGCTCTGTAGAGGAGCAGTCTTTCGTCCTCCCGGCCGGTCACGAGCAGGGCGGCCGACCACATGCAGGCTCGTGGCGTTGCTGCCTGCGTCCCGCGAGGGCCCCCGTTGTGAGCGGGGGCCGGGCCCCTAGCCTCAGGTTGGGCAGGCCCCTCTACAGGAGGAATGTCCGAGCATAGTCAAACAAGAGTTTGGGGACGATTTTCGGAACCTTTGTTGTTGTTGTTGTTGTTGTTGTTGTTGTTGTTGTTGTTGTTGTTGTTGTTGTTGTTGTTGTTGTTGTTGTTGTTGTTGTTGTTGTGTGTGTTTGTGTGTGTTTGTGTGTGTGTGGGTTTGTGTGGGTATGTGTGTGTGTGTGTGCGACTATCTTCGGGGGTATTTTCTAAGTACCTTTTTTCGCCCAAAGTCCGCCTGCAGGGGGACATGCCCGACCTAACCTCAGCCGTGCAACTCGTGCACACTTTTGTACTTCTTGTTCTTTCCATCGTGTTGGTCTAGAGCTAGAGCCCCAGGTTGAAAGGAGCCGCCCTCCATCTGCGTAATCGTTACATTGGTTCAGCCTTCTGGCCGTTGCATTGGGTAGCCTCAAACGAATCCCCCATCTTGGATACGATCTCCCTCCTATCCTTATAGTTGTTGAATGATTTCAACGAAGGTGCGCGGCGCCACGGCTAGGGTCCAATTGTGAACACGGTCCTCCTTACATCCATGTAGATGTTGCAAGCTTTTCACAGGATTGGTCGCGGTGTTGAGGCGAGCGCCAGCGCGCGAACCTCATGAAACAGCGGCCACCCTCCAAGCATCCTCCTCCTCCTCCCCCCTCCTCCTCCTCCTCTTCCTCCTCCTCCTCCTCCTCCTCCTCCTCCTCCCCCCCTCCTCCTCCTCCTCCTCCTCCTCCTCCTCCTCCTCCTCCTCCTCCTCCTCCTCCTCCTCCTCCTCCTCCTCCTCCTCCCTCCTCCTCCTCCTCCTCCTCCTCCTCCTCCTCCTCCTCCTCCTCCTCCTCCTCCTCCTCCTCCTCCTCCTCCTCCAAGCTTTTTTAAACGAATGTGCGCGGCCGTGGGGCGCGAACCCTACTTTCACAATACCACGTGGCACGCGTGTCCTGGCTCTTGCACCCAGGAGCTGCGAGGGACAGGAGGCTCTCGCCTCCTGTCCTCCAGGAGTCTCCTTCCGCGGCCAGGGGGGGGGCGAACGGCGAACGACGAACGAACGACAGACGAAAATAAAGAGGTCCGAGCTCGAAAATACAGCTGTGCAAGGGAATCAACATGTCCGAACTCTAGAACACTTTCACAATCATATCCATGCTCTTACGACGGATGTGCGTGTCGCTAATGCGAGGGCCAACATCTCAAAACGACCCTTCGACTGTGTGGCGGTCGTCGACTTCAGGCTTCGGGCCTGGAAGCGGTGAGGAAGTCTCAGGCGCAGCGCCCAGCCCGCCTCACCGACACGTTTTTTTGGGCCGCGACAGCGGAGTGTGGGGACTTTCGGCCAGGAGTAACTGGGTCCGAGCCCCGACGGGCGATCGGGGTGGGCCGGGTCCTGGCTGGCGCTTCGGGGCCCCGAGGCGGCACCCGGAGACCGACACCTGCCACAAACCTTCTGCGACGATTTTGTCGCGAAAATAGGGGGCCACATGCGAACCCTACTCCTACCCCCCACGATTTCTGAGGGTGAGGGTGGGGGGTGGGGGTAGGGTTCGCATGTGGCCCCCTAGAAAAGAGCACGTTTGGGTCTCTCTGTTGTGCCCCGTCACCCGATCCCTCCCGTCCCCATGCGTGCACCTCGCGCCGCATCGCCGCTGCATCGCCGCTGCATCGACGATGCATCTATGGTGCAGCGGAACGGCGGCGTCGGCGATGCAGCAGCGGCGTCGGCGTGGAGACCATCGCGCGCCACCTCGAGCCGCATCGCCGATGTGCCCGGCGATGCAGCGCGAGCCTCGGGCTCTATCTCAGCTCCGACTCCCGTAGGCGCTCGAACACGGCCCTCAGACGGGCCAAGGTGCCAGCGGCATGGCCCAAGCGGGCAGACAGACGGCCCAAGAAGCCCCCAAGAAGCCCGCGACGAATCTCCCGAGAGGCTCAGTGCGTCCAAGACGGCCCAAGAGTCTCCCGCGATTGCATCCATACGGCTTAAAAGGGCCCGTGAGAGCCCCCACTTGGCGCCAAGTCTGCCCGAGAGGTTCCAAAATGGCCCAACATAGCCCCAGGACGGCCCAAGAGGGCGCCAACAGCATTCCAAGACGGCCCTCAGAGACTCCCAGTGCGCCATCGAAACACCCCAGGCTTTCCAAATGGGCGCTTAGACGGCCCAGAAAGGCCCCCAAGGAGGTCCACGGAGGCTCACAGACTGCCGCAGGAACTCTTGAGATCGCTTCCAAGAGCCCCCCTAGAGGCAACCGCATTGTTTTTCGAAGGAACTTCGTTCTTTTTCGTACTGCCTGTAGATCGACCCAAAGCAGTCAACAAAAAAAAATCGACAAAGTGCCCAGGAGGACTCCAAAGACGGCCCCCAATGGCCCCAGGACGGCCCAGGAGCGTGCCTGGAGGATTCTAAGATGGCCCTTGAAACCCCGCGACGCCTTCGAAGGACCGCATGCGGCCCAAGAGGGCCCCACGACTGTCCACGAGGGCCCCACCACGGCACAAAAGCGCTCCATGACTGCCCCGAGAGGCGAACATCTTGTGTTATCCAGCATGATCGTCTTCTGTGTGTTGAGTGCGTAACAGGCAGCTTCGAAGGCTCCCACGATCGCCTCAAGACGAGTCTAAGGGGCCCCATGACGGCTTCATCTGGCGCCAATGACTGCCCCAGAGGACCCGCAAGCGACCTACGGGGCCCCCGGATGGCCCAGAAGGGCGCCAAGACAGCGCCAAGACTGCCTTAGGAGACCGCCAAAGCGTCCTCCAAAAGCCCCAGGAGGCCCAAGAGAGCCTTACGACAGGCTCCAATACGGCCCCCAGGAAAGTCCAAAATATTCATCCGAAGAGTCCCAAGACAGCCCCAAGGCGGCCACGCATTCAAGCACAAACGAGTGATATTAAACTCGAATATTAGCCACGTCTGCGCTGCGTTTCCACAACGTTTGGCCAAGTTTCTTGCTTGGTGCTTTCAACGGCACCTGATTGCTTCCAGGAGTCCTCCATACGGCTCTCGGGCTGCATTAGACGACATATGCTAGACTCCACTGTTCCCCCAGATGGCTCCCAAACCGTGCCCAGGTTTCCCATGACGTTTTCACGACGTCCCTGCATAGTTTCAAGGTGGCTCCAGACCAGCCCGACTCGGCCTTAGGGCAACTTAAGGTGTCTCCAGCAGGCGCCTGCTTCCATCCCTCTTCGAGCTCGGCAGAGCAATCTTCAGGGTGGGCCCTGTGTGGCCTCCACGTCACCTCCACCCATCGACCTCCAGTACCACGGGCAACACCGACCTCCAACACCCACCCGCAACGCTCGACCTCTCGGACATCGACACTGGACCGTGTGCACACTCGCGGTGCACCTCGCACTGCGCCATGCCCCCCCCTAGCCTCCACACGCCGACATCGACCGCATGCAAGGGGGGCTCTGGTCCACCCGCGCGGGCCTTGCAGGCTCCGCTCCTCGGCGGACCACCTGCGCGCCTTTCTATCTGTCCGTCTGTCTGTCCTATGCGGCCTCTCGGCTGTCTTGGCCTCTTCGGCCTCTGGGGCAGCATGTCTACCGACAGGCAGTCAGTGCCTCGATGGCATGGCGGACTCCTTGCGCTCACGGCCACAGGCCGCATGGCGGCTGGCGGGCGCCGACGTGGGTTGCCACGTTGCGCTCCTCCCTCCCTCCTCCCTCCTCCCTCCTCCCTCCTCCCTCCTCCCTCCCTCCTCCCTTCCTCCTGCTCCTCCTCCTCCTCCTCCTCCCTTCTCCCTCCTCCCTCCTCCCTCCTTCCTCCTCCTCCTCCTCCCTCCTCCCTCCTCCCTCCTCCCTCCTCCCTCCTCCCTCCTCCCTCCTCCTCCCTCCTCCTTCTCCCTCCCCTCCCTCCTCCCTCCTCCTCCTCCCTCCTCCTCCGCCCTCCTCTCCCTCCTCCTCCTCCTCCTCCCTCCCTCCTCCTCCTCCTCCCTCCTCCTCCTCCTCCTCCTCCTCCTCCTCCTCCTCCTCCCTGTCCTCCTTCTCCTCCTCCTCCTCCTCCTCCTCCTCCTCCTCCTCCTCCTGGCTGGTTGGTTAGTCTGCCGCCGCCCGCGGTGCTGCCACGGCCCGAGGACACGCTGTCGTGCCCTCGCCCCGCGCGCGCGTGCCCGCCTCGCCTTCCCCTGCCGCTCGTCGCTCCGCGCGCGGGTGCTGTCGGCCACCTGCTGCGCCGTGTCTTTTTTCCTGCACCGCGCGAGCGCGTCGTGTGGCCTCTGACGAAGGCGTCGTGTGGCCTCTGACGAGGACGAGCGGCACGAGAAGGCAAGGGAGGGGGGAGCGGAACGACAAGCGGCAGAGAAGGCAAGGGAGGGGGGAGAGGCAAGAGGAGGGGAGTGACGAGGAGAGGGAGGACGGCCCCATCTGCGACGCAGCCAGACAACACGAGGAAGGCATCTATGCACCTCCGCCGCGCCAGGCCGGGGCCATCCTGGGCCCTGGCATGGTGCATACGTCCTCCTGGCCGAGGCCGGGAGGGTCTAGACACCATCCTGGGGCCCAGGATGGGCCCTGGCCTGGCACGGCGGTGGTGCATAGATGCCTTCTTCGTGTGGCCTAGTTGCGTCGCAGATGGGATCGTCCTCTCTCTCCTCGTCTCTCCCCTCTTGCCCCTCCCCCCTCCCTTGCCTTCTCTGCCGCTCGTCGTTCCGTGGGCGGCTGTTATCGGTCACCTGCTGCACCCGTTTTTTGGTGCACCATGCGAGCATGTTGTGTGGTCTCCGACGAAGGCGTCTATACACCACTCCACCACCGTGCCAGGCCAGGGCCATCCTGGGCCCTAGGATGGTGTCTAGACCCTCCTGGCCCTGGCCAGGAGGGCGTATGCATCATGCCAGGGCCCACGATGGCCCCAGCTTGGCACGGCTGTGGTGTATAGATGCCTTCTGCGTGTGGTTTGCCCCCCCCCCCACCCCCACACCCTCCCCCCCTGTGCCACAACTACACAATATGAATACTACTCTCCTCTCTCCCCTGGTGACGTCCGGGAGATCTTCGCCCCGCGTATTGTTTTTTCACAGGATTTATGGGAAACGGGTTTTCGCTTGGGTTTGTTTCGAAATGATGTTCTCGCTGAAGCGCTGGCCTCATTTTCGGGCTACCGCTCGTTCCGAATCGTCCTCCCGCTGCAGCGCTGGCCTCATTTCCGCGCTTCCGCTCGTTCCGAATCGTGCTCCCGCTGCAGCGTGGGCGTCATTATTTCCAGCGCCATGTTATGGAATGGTTTTCGGTCCTTCCAAAAAATACTAAATTGTAAAAACGCTCCCAACCCGAAAAAACCATCGGAAGTGATTACACATTCGGTGCCGGTTCGTTGATTTTTTTGGGTCGCAGAAGCCCCCCCTCCTTCTGGGGCGTCGCCACGCCATGCTATGTCAGGCTACGCGTCCTCCGAATCGCGCTCCCGCTGCAGCGCTGGTCTCATTTCCGCGCTTCCGCTCGTTCCGAATCGTGCTCCCTCTGCAGCGCTGGCGTCATTAATTCCAGTGCCATGCCACAGAACGGTTTCTGGTCCTTTCAAATAGGCCTCCAAATCAAAAAAAGGTCCCCCGAAACGACCATCGGAAGTGATTCCACATTCGGTGTCGATTCGTTGATTTTTTGGGCCGCAGAAGCCCCCCCCACTTTGAGGCGTCGCCACGCCGTGCTATGCCAGGGTCCGCGTTGATCTTCAACACCATGCTATGCCATGCAATACTATACCCTGCAGCGACATCCGACTGTGCGCATAGAGAGGACATCTACGCCATGGTGAGGGATGGGAGGGATGGGTCGGATGTTAGATCTGACGCGAGCGCACCTAGCTTGCCCCTCCCTCCTCCCCCCTCCCCCCTCCTCTTGTCCCTCCCTTCACCCCCCTCACCTCCTCTTGCCCCTCCCCTCCTCTTGCCCCTCCCCCCTCCCGCTCTTCCCCCGCTCCCTTTCCCTCCGCATCTTGCCCAGACCCACCAGGTGGGCCACCCCGCCGCTCCGCAGCGGCTGGCGCTGCTGGAGCCCTACTTCACCAAACACCACTTCGGACTGTTCCGATGCCACAAGGTGGAGAGCACGACGAGCAAGGGAAGAGGAGGAGGAGGAGGAGGAGGAGGAGGAAAAGGAGGAGGAAAAGGAGGAGGATGAGGAGGAGGAGGAGGAGACCCTGGTTGGAAGAGCACAGACTGGACATCCCACTGGGCAGCAGCATGATATTTTTTTCCAGATGATGGAGCGATGGCGACATCTTCAGCAAGCGCGCGGTTCATTCTGGCGCTCTCGGATTTCAGTGGTGTGGAAAACGATCCCCACTGTTGCAGCCAGAATGGACCGAGGACGCCAGCGTCGTATCATCGGCCGCTCGCTCATAGTTTTGCAGAGTTGCCGTATTTCGGGCCCTCTTGGGGGCTTATGGGTTTCCCGTGCTGTCTTGGAAGCCGTGAAATGCTTCTGGAGAGCCCGAGGCAGGGTCGGGTCATCCAGAAACCTTCGGGAAGGGGGCGCTGCACGCAATGGAGCGTGGCCCGGGGGGGGGGGTTGCGTTAGAATCCTGACATAATCTTTTCCATGCAGTTCTTGGCTTAGCATGCAGTGCTTGGCTGTCTACACTGTCTCCACGTGGCAGGGGACACGGTGACGGATAGATATCACGATGAGAGTTTAGAGGAAGAGGCAGGCAGCCAGGCAGGCAGGCAGGCAGGCAGGCATGAGGCAGGCAGGCAGGCAAGCAGGGAGGCAGGGAGGCAGGGAGGGAGGCGGGCAGGGAGGCAGGCAGGGAGGGAAGCAGGGAGGGAGAGAGGGAGGAAATGAGGGAGGGAGGAAGGGAGGGAGGAGGAGGAGGAGGTAGTAGGAATTAGCAGGACACCAATTTGAGCACTACTTCCTGACCGACAAGCGTCTGCTTCTCCAGGGCATGTTCGCCTCCTAGAGCCCCTGCACATTTAAGCGATCAGCTCTGCAAATACGCGCGGACGAGTGAGCGAGTCATCTTTACGATGCGACCAGGAGGCATTGCCACCTGCCCTCATTGTGTTTGACGTTGCCTTTCCTCGCACCAAAACCTATGCGGCGCGGCGCGCGTGCTTGTTTGGATCATACACATACATGTGTTCACACTTGTATATACACATGTTTCATATGTGAGTCACAAGTTGTTCATACACATGTGCATTTATGTGCATAGGTACATCTACATGTTTACATACACAAATACATATGCATGTATGTCGGGCTACATCTTTATGTGTGTATCTTTCACTATACAGGTATATAGGTAATATGTATGTGATTTCATGGGAGTATTTTTTGTTTAGCTTGCACACGCCTGCCTATATCGATTGGAGAGGCCTTACGGCCGGTGCCGCCGACCCCGAACAACGACGACAACGACGACGACGACAGCGACGAAAGCGGCGACGACGACGACGACGACGACCAACACCACGACGACGACGACGACGACGACGACGACGACGACGACGACGACGACGATGACGACGACGACGACGACGACGACGACGACGACGACGACGACGACGACGACGACGACGACGACGACGACGACGACGACGAGCGCTCCTGGGGGCTTCTTGGGGGTAGTTTTGGGGCCTCTTGGAAGCCTCGTAGGGGCCTCGTGGGAGCCTCGTGGGGTCCTCTTGGAGCGCTTCCTGGGTGTCTCTTGAGGGCATCTTGGGGCCCCTCGGGGGTCTTCTTGGGGGCATCTGGGGGCCTTCTGGGAGCCTCTTAGGCCGAGGGCTCGAAATGTTCGGTCGGGTCTCCCGTCTGGGCTCCCTCTTGGAGCCGTTTTGGGGGCTGTCTTGTTGGGCGGTCTTGGGGCCCTTTTGGGTCGTTTTGGGACCCTCTTGGAGGCCTCTTGGGCAGACTTGAGAGCCTCTTGGGCTGTCTTGGAGCGTCGGGAAGCCGACAATGCGAGAACGCCAAGTTTTTTCAAAAGAAACTTGGGGAACATCTGTGGTTTGTGCGTTTTGAAACCTCTTGAGCCACGTTTGGAGGCTACTCTGGCGTCTTGGACTGGTAATTCGGCATTTCGGGGTCGTCGAGGACCGTCTTGGGGTTGTCTTGGGGCTTTCCTGGGCCCGGAAACTCCCTGGGGGGATGTGTATCTGGGGGGCGACCCACCCTCCGGGTGTCAACCCGCGGGTGTCATCCCTCGGGACCCTCTTTTCGGGTCCCCCCCTGGGGGGGGAAGGGATCAAAGTGAAGGGGCTTTCCTTCGACTTAGCTACGACGTTGATCCATGTCGGTTTGACTGGCGCGCTGAAGGAGGAGGGCCCAGGGAAAGGAACGGGGGACGACGGAAACGACGAGTAACGGAGACGACGAGGAGACGACGGAGACGGAGACGACGACGGAGACGACGAGACGACGGAGTGGACACGACGACGACGGCGACCTCTGGAAGAGCGTCTTCCACACGCCGACGGGGTCGGCGGATTTCCATACAAGTATGAGAGAGATAGAAGAGAGAGAGAGAGAGAGAGAATAAGATATGGGTGTGGAATGAGGGCCGTCTTCTGGCTGTGTCTGCTCGCCTTGGCCGCTGAAGCCTTGCGATGTGTGCGCTTGAGCATATCTTGCTGGCTGCTCGTCTCCTCAGCTCGGCCGCTCTCCCGTCGCCGCCGCCCGCTGCCCCCGTGCGAAGGTGGAAACTGGCTCCGGCATCGGGAAATTCACCGCGATGGCCTTACCAGGGCGCCCCCCCTCTCTCCTGCGAGGCCCCTTTCTTCGGCTTCACCCAAGCTCGGAGGCGGCCAAGAGGGGGGGGTGATGACTAGGGGGGTCTGGACATCATGGCGGGGGCCATGAGCTCTCCCCAGGCTTCAGGGCGCCTCTTCTTGTTTCTACACGTCCCTGGCGCCCCCCTGGGCCGCGCACATGCCGCCGGCCATGATTTGCGCCCCCCCCTCTTGGACGCCCCCCTCGTTGGACGCTCCCGACAGACGTACTTACAGTATGCGTGCGCCGCCCCGAAGAGGGGGTGACGCGCGCGCTCAGAGATATCATAGGATGTGCTCTGTGGCGGGCGCTGTGCGGCCATCTTGCTGAGGTCACGATCTGCTGCAGCGCGGTCGTGCCATGTGATTTGGTCGGACGCACGCCTCCAAGAAGGACACGCGTAGTGCCAGCATGCCCTCCTGCGTCCCATGTCTGGACCACGGGCGGCAGCTGGGGAGCTTGAGCATCCCGGGGTCTTGCGCCATGCCAGCAGCGCCGCCTGCGCGGGCCGGCACCCGATCCGCTTCGGCATCCCGGGCGATCCCGGCATGGACCGTGACAGAGGCTCGAGTGCGGAGAGGAATTCGCCTGCAGGCCGCAGCCGCGAAGTCAGGGCGCTGACTCCACGCACGATATCAGATGACTTCAGTCGATGTCAGATGACTTCGGCTTTGACATCTGCCCTTTCTTCACTTCGCCCAAGCGGAAGTTGTTTCCCTGATTTTCCTTCCGGTCTACGGCAGGTCCGTGTCGTGTCGACGCGGCGGCGACCCCAGCATGGGCGTCCAAGGTTGAATGATCAAACAGCCGCCGGTCGTTCAAGGCTGGAGGGTCCACGGGGTGTCAGGAACCAGCGCCGTGGTCGTCACGACACGAACTTGCAGTACTCTGTTCAATACCCCTCGTGTTGCTCATGCTCCGCCTGAGGTCCCGTCACTTCTTGGGATGCTCCCTCCTCTTCGGCCTCTTCCTCCCCCGCCAGTTCTTCGCCTCCTCCTCCTGCGCCCTCTCTTCCTCCCTCGTCCGCCTCACTCCTCCGTGGGCACCGGCACCAGACCGCGCCTCGGCAAAAGATCGCCCAGAAGGTGCCCCGCTCCTCCCGTTGCCCTCCTCCCTTCCCCCCTTTCTCCCTCCTGGGAGTGAGTGCGCGAGGGCAGGAGTGATGGGGTAGAGGGAGTCCGCGAGCGGCGATGCGCATCATCCCCCTCTCCTCCCTTCTCCTCCGTTCCCCGAGGGGCAGCAGGGACGGGAGGAGCCAGCGGCATCGACCGCGATGGAGCCCCCGCCTAGCTTGAAGACGTGGGGTTCGGAAGTTCAGGGCGGAGGGGTGAGGGCGGACGCACGAAGAAGGGTGGACGAGGATGCACGAAGGATAGGAGGAATGATGACGGAGGGGGGGGGACATGATGAGCCAGGGGGAGCGGTGACGGAGAAAGGGGAAGGATGGAGCGGGTGAGGTATATGAGGAAGGTTGATGGATGCGGAAGGAGGGGGACAGAAGGCACATGCTGACGCGGTGTTGCCAATACTGTGGGAAGCCGTGCTGGCCCACCCGCGCGTGATTGTGAGCCTCGTCAGGCCTTTCTGTGCGCTGTTCTCGCTGCCGCAAGGTACGTGGGAAATCTGAGAGAGAAGTACGGGGTTGTGACCGAGGCGGCTTGCTCGCTCTGGCTCTCGCTCTCGCTCCCTCCCCCTTCTGCCTCTCAGCATCACGAAGATACAGTGCCGTTTTCAATACATGCTCCGCGTGCGGATCACATATTAAAAATGCAGGGATTTAGTATTAAAAACAACGATGAGTTCATGCACAAATGTATTCATAAATTAATCATGTATTAGAATCCTATATTTTGACAAATCCTATGTATTAAAAACTGCCCTGTAGCACACGCGCACGTGTTCCGCTCGTGCAGTAGGTGGGTGCTGGTTTTTGCGCCCGCGGAGGAAGTGCACGGAGCGCCAGCGCACTGGGAGAAGTGGACGGGGTGCGGAGCGTGAGGGGGAGGAAACGGGTGATGATGGGGGTAGGGGGCCAAATTAGGGGAACAAAAAATGGCATAAACATAAAAACTCGGAGGTCCGCGCGGATTTCTCGGATCGGCGCTGGGGCTCCCCGGCGGCGCCTCCTGCTCCGCCCCTGGCGCGCTCCGCGCGCCAGGGAGGGGGGTCCTGTGCCGATCCGAGAAACCCGCGCGGACCTCCGCGTTTTTATCTTTATGTCACTTTTTGTTCCCTTACAGATGCGAACCCTACCCCTACCCCCCGCGGTTTCTGAGGGGGGATGGGGGGTGGGGTTCACTTCGCTCGGGAGCTCCCGAACGAAGTGAACCCCGCCCTCCCCCTCAGAAATCGTGAGGGGGCAGGGGTAGGGTTCGCATGTGGCCCCCTAGGGGGACAAGAGGGGGGTGGAGTGTGAGGGCCACGAGGAGGTAAGGTAGGTTCGTGCCTTGCCGATGCGGCAGCGACCGCGCCGCGGGCGTTCAAGGTTGAACGCCGCCAGCGGTTCAGATTCGGCCGATGTATAACGATCTGGCCAGCGGGAAGCCGCCGATCGCTCAAGGTTGAACGGTCCGCGTGGTGTTCGCAAAACCAACGCCGGGGTAGTCACGACATCTCCGCCGTACCAGCGCAGCGTCGAGATGTATACAAGGTTGGCGGAGTGAGTGAAAGGTGTTCACACGCGAATCCATCTCATGTCGCACAGGTGTGAGCTGGCTCGGGGCGAGCGAACGTGGTTATGTAAGTACACTCATTCTTTCTTCCTTTGGTCCGAGGGGGAAGTGGGGGGTGTCGCTATGCCTTCTTCGCTTGCAAAGGGCTGCCGAAGATGTGCGAGCTGCATGCGCGATTGTGGAACACCTTGCCGAGGTCTTGCCATCCTCTGGCATGCCAACCAACTCATATGACTATTTAGGTGGTCGCGCTCTGCTTATCCAAACCTTTCGCAAATACGATACACCACAGGTGCGCATTCGGCTACTCACTTCAGTCAACCCACATGCCAAGGATGAGAGCAACTTTCCAAGGTTGCCCTTGCATCCTCCCCCTTCGGCCCATCCTTGGCTGCTTTCGCTGGCTGTGCCCCGCTCGCAAGGTGCCCACATGGCCTTCCAAGGCCCTTGCATCCCGATCGTGCGTCCTGATTGTGCGGGTTGACGGGCGCCGCTGAAACCTCGCCTTGTTGCGCCAGGGTGTCTTTTTGTGGCGTGACGCCAGGCCTGCTCCTCTCCGCCTCCTCCGTCTCCGTCTCCTTTTCCTCTTCCTCCTCGTTCTCCTCCTCCTCCTCCTCCTCCTCCTCCTGCCACCTCGCGGGTTTTGTTGTGCCTGCTCGCTCAATGGTTCCGTGGATGCTGCGCAAACGGTACGGACGCTCAGGGCGCTCCACTGGCTAGCAACCAGTCCTTAGCAAGCCCAGCCGCCATTAATTTCTTTCTTTAATTTGGAAATTTGATTTTCTCTTTTTAATTTTAAAATTTCCAAAAAGAAAGACATACCATAAACAATAATTAATTATCATGTTATCACTTATGTCCTTAGGAATCCATTATCTTTTCTTTTTTTCTTAAATCCGGCCAGGCGACAGGGGGGGCGGAATCGGCAACGGGGTGGATACCCAGAGGCGACGACGGGTGCGAGCAGCCCAGGGGAGAGCAATGCGTGTGTTCGGGTGCGCCGATGACCTGTGTCCTCGAGAAGTTCCCGGGCGAATGCGCGCAGTGCCCGCCCCTGGGCTATTCGCCCCCATCGTCGCCGCCGAGGCACGACATCTGCTGCGTGCAGCCCGCTGCGGCCCCGCCCGCGGGGCGCTCGCCTCGCGCCTCGGGCGCCCGGGGGGCGCCGAGGAGCCAGCGCCGCGAGCCGAGTCGCGACGCCCCGCTGTGCCATTCCCCCCCCTCGGAGGCGACGATGGGGGCGAAGGGCCCACGGGGAGGGGGGAGGGGGAGGGGGAGAGGAGGGGGAGAGGAGGGGGAGAGAGAGGGGGAGGAGGGGGATGAGGGGGAGGAGGGGGAGGAGGAGGAGGGGGAGGAGGGGGAGGAGGGGGAGGAGGAGGAGGAGGAGGAGGAGGAGGAGGAGGAGGAGGAGGAGGAGGAGGAGGAGGAGGAGGAGGAGCAACACATGTGTCCAGGGGCGCAGAGGGTCCACGCCCTCGGCGAGGCTCCCGGGCGAGCACGTGCAGCGCCCGCCCCGTGCGCTGCTCGCCCCCGTCGTCCCCTCCGGACCCCCCCCCCTTTCGTGCGGGCCCGAAGCCAGCAGGCCGTTCCGCCCGTCCCCTCGTCTGCATTCCGGACGCCCGAAATGGGTACGGAAAGAGTGGGTACAATGCCCAACGGCGGTTCCTGTTCATCTTGAGCAGGATTCGCTGTCCACGCCGCCGCGGCCTGCGTCCATTCAAGACAGAAGGCCGCCTGCCCAACAGCGGCCGCTGTTGGTTTGGGACAACGTTTGCTGTTGGGCATTGTGCCCACTCTTTCCGTGCCCCTTTCGGGCGTCCAAATGCATGGCCCTCTCACGGTCGGCCTCTGGCTGCTCTGGCCTCCCGCGGGCCTCCGGCAACCGCTGGTGCCCGCGCGCCCGCGCGCGCTGCGCCGCGGGGGCAGGGGCAGGCCGTCTGCAAGCCTGCCGTCGGGCCTCCTGTCCAGTCTTGGGTCCACCTTCACCAGCCTCGAACTTATCCCTAACCTTAGGCGATGCTTAAGAAAACCCAAGTTTTCGGCCAGAGTCTCGATTATTCTTAACATTTCAATGCAAACCTTAATCTTTTGATATAAATGTTGGGTTTTTACTCAAGTTCTGAGACTATGAATTTCCTAACCCATGAGTTCTTAAGCATTTCGCAGGGCGTATCCCTAAGATTGACACGCCGAAAGGCGATGGCAATCTCAGGGATGCGCCCTCCAAAACTGAGGGAATCCCTAAGATTGGCATCGTGATGAGGCGATGCCCAGCATAGGGATAGGCATATGTTCCAGGCTGGTAACACCTGTCCCTGCCCGGCGTTCGTACCGCCGCTGACGACCTGCGGCGAAAAGACGCCGGGATCAGGGCCGCTGGGCTCGGGAGGGGCTCTGGCTTCCGGGCCCGTGCCTCAGACGTGTGGCGGCGGCCCTGCTTTTCGGCCGAGGCGAGCCTTGGCCAGGAGAGCTCCTTCGGGTCCTCATTTGGCGGTCCTCAGGACAGCACGACGACCCCTGAGATCCGACGTCTCGACAAACTTGAGACATCGTCCCCCCCAGCTCCTGATCACCCGAAGGGTGGTGTATGCGGCGTGTGTGTATATATATATATATAGACATGCAAGCGTATTCCCATTCAGCTGAGTCCTTCCTCCCTCTCGACTCCTTTGCACACACTTTCTCAGCTTGTCTATACTGTCCTTCTCCTCTGTTCCATGCCCTCTCGTTTTCGCGCCTCCTTCCTGCCAGTTCCTGCTTCTAGGACTGCTGCCCTGGCATGTGTTCACTCGACCTACTCTGGCGTCATCAGTCCTGTCTGTTCACCTTCTCGTGCCGTCTACGACTCCTGAGTTGAGTCGGGCCTGTCCCTCTACATGGGGGAACACCCAAGCACAGCCAAAACATAGTCTGGGGCCTATCTGTGGAGCATTGTTTTGATTATCTCGGAGTATCTCTGGAGTTTTTGTTTATTTTTCGTCGCAGATCCGGAGGAGGAGGAGGAGGAGGTGGAGGAGGAGGAGGAGGAGGAGGAGGAGGAGGAGGCGGAGGCGGAGGCGGAGGAGGAGGAGGAGGAGGAGGAGGAGGAGGAGGACCTAAATCTACGACGCTCGTGCCCGCTTCCTGCCCTCCCCTCGGGTGCCCCCTCCTGCCCCCAGAGGTGTACAAGTCCTCCGCGTACACGGAGGACTGGGGGGGCCGGCGAGCGGCGGGGGCGCCCCGCAGCGAGAGCACTCGACCCTGGCAGGCATCGCCCTCGTTCCGGAGGGACAACACACACACAGACACACGTAATCGTCGCTTCCCCAGAAGATATGGGGAAATATGGGAAGTGGGGGGGAAGACAGAAGCCCAGAAAACATGGGAGGACATGGGGAATCCTGTGATTCCCCACGTGTTTCGTGGGGTCCTGGTTTTCTTCCCCGCCGCGTCGCACCCTCGTCTCACACCCACACCTCCCTCACACCTCCCTCACACCTCCCTCACACCTCCCTCACACCCTCACACCTACACAGGCACACCGACACAGACACATACACACAGACACACAGACACACACACAGACACAAACACACATAAACACATACACTCCCTCACCCACGCGCAACAGCTGCACGGCACGTACATGAGACACGCGTAGCACAACACAGCGCAGCGCAGCACAACACAGCGCTGCTCAGCACAGCTCAGCTCGGCACAGCACAGCACAGCACAGCTCAGCACAGCAGAGCACAGCGCACATGACACGCCATACACAACACGCACGCGTAGGATGCGCAGGGCACGGCAGGCATGGCACTTTCTCGACACCAGAGGGAGTGCGTTGGTGGTGGTCCCTGAGCGCGGTGTTCGACTCGTCCAGGGTCCACGGCATGGCAAGAGTGGCACTTTCTCGACACCATAGGGGCTGCGCAGGACGTGGTCCCTGAGCGCGGCCGCTATCCGAGACGGTCGTCCAGGGCATAGCAGGAGTGGCACTTTCTCGACACCGTAGGGGGTGCGCAGGGGGTAGTCCCTGAGCGCGGCCGCTATCCGAGACGGTCGTCCAGGGCATAGCAGGAGTGGCACTTTCTCGACATCATATGGCCCCCTTGGGCTCTCTTGGGGTCTTCCTGAGGGCCTTGGGGGCCCTCTTGGGGCCATCTTGGAGGCCATCGATCAAAAGAGGGGGGGGTCTTGATTGTCCCCCACCCCCTTTCCCCCAGTCGGAAACCGAATAATCGTTTTGTGGGCCCTCTTGGGGCGCCTTTGGGACGCTTTGGGGCGCTATTGGGGCCGTCGTGGGCCCTATGGGTCCCTCTTGGGTCATCCTGTAGCCATCTGGAGGCCTCAGAAACCCAACGGAGGCGACAAGGCGAGAATGCCAACATCAGTTGTTTTCCATTCGTTTTGGACGGATTTGCGCATCTCGGGGGCGTCCGTGGGAGGCTCCGTGGCCACTGAGAACAGTTTCGGGGCTGTCTTGGGGCCTCTTGGCGGCGTGTTGGAGGCTAGCATGAGCCCCCTTGGGCAAGCTTCTGCAATTCTGGAGGCCATCTTTGGCTCCTTGATGCCACCTTGGAGCCATCTCAGACCATCTTGGGCACTCTGACTTCTCGTGCCTCCCCCCTACTCCAGACCCATGGGAGGGTGTCGAAGGGGGAGGGGTGAACCCCTTCCAGGAGGATAATCATGGGGTCGGATTAACAAACTCGCTAAACCACCTGCGCCTTGCACTTTTCTTTTTTTCAACATTGATCATACGTTGGCGCTCCTTATATCCCCACGAGCCCATCAGAAACGATGTTCAGGCGAGTTGCCTTGATCGGGGAAGTGTAAGAGCACGCAGTGGAACAAAGAGGGGCAGTAGTCGTCAAACCGAATCTCCAGATCAGCCCGATCAGACACAGGAGTCAACCGGAAATACCTTCTCGGATCTTGTTGGAGCCTCGTGATAGCTTACGTGGGCATTCCTGTGGCCCACTCGGAGCTATTTTGAAGGCCTTTGGGGCCCCCTTGGGCTCTCTTGGGGTCTTCCTGAGGGCCTTGGGGGCCCTCTTGGATTCCATCGATCAAAAGAGGGGGGGTTCTGGATTGCCCCCCACCCCCTTTCCCCCAGTCGGAAACCGAATAATCGTTTTGTGGGCCCTCTTGGGGCGCCTTTGGGACGCTTTGGGGCGCTATTGGGGCCGTCGTGGGCCCTATGGGTCCCTCTTGGGTCATCCTGTAGCCATCTGGAGGCCTCAGAAACCCAACGGAGGCGACAAGGCGAGAATGCCAACATCAGTTGTTTTCCATTCGTTTGGACGGGAGGCTCCGTGGCCACTGAGAACAGTTTCGGGGCTGTCTTGGGGCCTCTTGGCGGCGTGTTGGAGGCTAGCATGAGCCCCCTTGGGCAAGCTTCTGCAATTCTGGAGGCCATCTTTGGCACCCTGATGTCACCTTGGAGCCATCTCAGATCATCTTGGGCACTCTGACTTCTCGCGCCCCCCCCCCCTCCGCCAGACCCATGGGAGGGTGTCGAAGGGGGAGGGGTGAACCCCTTCCAGGAGGAATCATGGATCATACGTTGGCGCTTCTTATATCCCCACGAGCCCATCAGAAACGATGTTCAGGCGAGTTGCCTTGATCGGGGAAGTGTAAGAGCACGCAGCGGAACAAAGAGGGGCAGTAGTCGTCCAGACCCATGGGAGGGGGTCGAAGGGGGGAGGGGTGAAACCCTCCCCGAGTGAGAAGGGGGGGGGGGTCGGACTGACGAACTCGCTGAACTCGCTAAACCACCTGCACCGTACATTGCCCAGCTAACATTGCCCAAATGCTGGCGCTTCGCGTGCCTGCACCAGCCCATTCGGAAACGGTGCCCAGGCGAGCTGCCTTGACCACTTTCGTGGGCTCCTGGGAGGCCCAGCGGAGGTGGGTCCCACGCGGATCACCTCGAGACCTCGCGGTGCCCTGGGGGCTGTCATCTGCGCAATTGTCGCCACTCTCGTGGGCTCCTGGGAGGCCCAGCGGAGGTGTACCCACGCGGATCACCTCGAGACCTCGCGGTGCCTTGGGGGCTGCGATCTGCGCAACTGTCGCCACTCTCGTGGGCTCCTGGGAGACCTAGCTGAGGTGGGTCCCACGCGGATCACCTCTAGACCTCGCGGTGCCCTGGGGGCTGCGATCTGCGCAATTGTCGCCATTTTCGTGGGCCCCTGGGGGGCCCAGCGGAGGACGCGGATCACCTCGAGACCTCGCGGTGCCCTGGGGGTTGCGATCTGCGCAACCGTCGCCACTTTCGTGGGCCCCTGGGATGCCCAGCGGAGGTGGGTCCCACGCGGATCACCTCGAGACCCCGCGGTGCCCTGGGGGCTGCGATCTGCGCAATTGTCGCCACTTTCGTGGGCCCCTTGGAGGCCCAGCGGAGGTGGGTCCCACGCGGATCACCTCGAGACCTCGCGGTGCCCTGGGGGCTGCGACCTGCGCAATTGTTGCCACTTTCGTGGGCTCCTGGGAGGCCCAGCGGAGGTGGGTCCCACGCGGATCACCTCGAGACCTCGCGGTGCCCTGGGGGTTGCGATCTGTGCAATTGTCGCCACTTTCGTGGGCCCCTGGGAGGCCCAGCGGAGGTGGGCCCCACGCGGATCACCTCGAGTTCTCGCGGTGCCCTGGGGGGCTTGCGATCTGAGAATTGTCGCCACTTTCGTGGGCCCCTGGGAGGCCCAGCGGAGGTGGGTCCCACGTGGATCACCTCGAGACCTCGCGGTGCCCTGGGGGCTGCGATCTGCGCAATTGTCGCCACTTTCGTGGGCCCCTGGGGGGCCCAGCGGAGGTGGGTCCCACGCGGATCACCTCGAGACCTCGCGGTGCCCTGGGGGCTGCGATCTGCGCAATGTCGCCACTTTCGTGGGCCCTGGGAGGCCCAGCGGAGGTGGGTCCCACGCGGATCACCTCGAGACCTCGCGGTGCCCTGGGGGCTGCGATCTGCGCAACTGTCGCCACTTTCGTGGGCTCCTGGGAGGCCCAGCGGAGGTGGGTCCCACGCGGATCACCTCGAGACCTCGCGGTGCCCTGGGGGCTGCGATCTGCGCAACTGTCGCCACTTTCGTGGGCTCCTGGGAGGCCCAGCGGAGGTGGGTCCCACGCGGATCACCTCGAGACCTCGCGGTGCCCTGGGGGCTGCGATCTGCGCAATTGTCGCCACTTTCGTGGGCTCCTGGGACCCAGCGGAGGTGGGTCCCACGCGGATCACCTCGAGACCACGCGGTGCCCTGGGGGCTGCGATCTGCGCAATTGTCGCCACTTTCGTGGCTCCCGGGAGGCCCAGCGGAGGTGGGTCCCACGCGGATCACCTCGAGATCTCGCGGTGCCTTGGGGGGCTTGCGATCTGCGCAATTGTCGCCACTGTCGTGGGCTCCTGGGAGGCCCAGCGGAGGTGGGTCCCATGCGGATCACTTCGGGACCTCGCCGCCCCCTGGGGGGCTTGCGATCTGCGCAATTGTCACCACTTTCGTGGGCTCCTGGAAGGCCCAGCGGAGGTGGGTCCCACGCGGATCACCTCGAGACCTCGCCGCCCCCTGGAGGGCTTGCGATCTGCGCAATTGTCGCCACTTTCGTGGCTCCTGGGAGGCCCAGCGGAGGTGGGTCCCACGCGGATCACCTCGGTAGCTCGCCGCCCCTGGGAGGCTTGCGATTTTCGCAACTGTTGCCGCTTTCGTGGGCTCCTGGGAGGCCCAGCGGAGGTACGTCCCACGTGGATCATTCGGAGGTACGTCATACGCGTTTCTTTCAACGCCCCCGTGTTTCCATTTTGTATAGTTGCCGTTCCTCTTCTTGCTGCGCTCTTCTGAAATCACTGTTGGGTGCTCTTCTTGCGCACTGCGGGTCCTTCAGAATGCCAGTCAGCATTGAGTGGTCCTGAGTATAATCGCCACATGTATAGAAAGGGTTGGGTACGTCACAGGGTAATTTCCCAACCCTCCTATGATTGGGTATTCGTTTTGAATAGAGCAGTGTGGTCGCCCCGTCCTCCTCCTCCTCCCCTCTCCTCCCCTCCTCCTCTCCTGTTTCCTGTGTTCCCCTCTCCTCTTCTCTCGTGCTGTCGGGCTTGCGATCTGCGCAACCGTCGCCACTTTCGTGGGCTCCTGGGAGGCCCGGCGGAGGTGGGTCCCACGCGGATCACCTCGGTAGCTCGCCGCCCCCTGGGGGGCTTGCGATCTGCGCAAT